AGGAAGGATTAATGCACCTCTAGGAGTGGCCTGACCAGCCAGGCAGAGATTCCCTTCTCTAGACACCACATCTGTTCTCACAGTGTCAGAAAGTGCACCCCAGCTTCCAGAACCTTTGCACACATTCAGGCAGGGCAACGGGAGCTCTCCTGGACCTTCTGAATATAAACTCCCTCTGGTCCTAGATGATACAGACACAGAGGGAGGCCACAGTCCTGCATTCTTATCCTTCTGTTCAAGGACTGTATGACCTTGGGGAAGCTGCTTCACACCTTCTGTAAGATAGAAATGGCACCACCACCCAGCACCCATCAGAGCCTGGAGGAGTCATGGCACCATGCGTGGGACTCCCTGGCAAGGTGTCTGACCCCCAGAGGGGCTCATTCAGGCTGTGCAGGTAAAAAGACCAAGAAGAAAGAGGAGACAGTGATTGGATTTTCAAGGGTATAAGAGTGTATCCGTAGCCAAAAGGATGCTGCTAAAAATAGCAGGTCTTCTATGGATGATTTCATATTAAATCTGCTCAATTTATAAGTCAAAACCTTATTACCTTCCTTTCTCACCCCTGCAGACCTCGGGGAACCAGGCACAGATGCACATAGTGCACGGAAGAGTAAGCCCTGGGCATTAATAGAAATGAGCCACATACAGAAACCACAGAGAGAAGAGTTTGGCTCATCAACCTATAGGCCCAACCCCTGGGTGTAGAGTGACAGTTTGATTTGGAAAGAATGCAGACATTAGAAGCTGCAAGGGGGAGGAAGTAGCATAGGGAGCAGAGAACAGAAAGACTGAAGTGCGTTCCTCCAAAGTAGGGAGCATTGACTAATTTTAAGGCGATGTTGAGGCAATGGTTTTAAGCCTATGATGAAAAGATGTTGAAAAAGCCATTGGGATATCAGTGGTCAGACCTTAACAAGAAGGTAATGGGATACTTGGGCTTCATGTATATTTAGTCCTCAACCTTATCTGCCCCTGCCCCAGCCTCTATTTCCCCTAAAACAGAATCTGGAAAATTATTTGACAAACTCTCGCTCAAAGATTGGACAGGAGAGGAATATAACCCTGTAATCAGGACTTGAACCCAGGCCATTAGGATTCCAGAACAGAACTCATTCCACTACAATACCTTGCCTATGCAAAATTAGCCTGTCTTCTCTTTAATAAAATAATAACAGGAGTAAGAATAATAATATATATTTTTAAAACCCCTGATTTAGGGCTCTCATAGCACTCCATCATTTTAATTAATCCATATGCCTTCTTTCCCCCTGGGAGAGTCTCAGTTAATATCTAGTGTCCTAGCTGAATTAATAATAGCATCCCCATTAATTCTCAGAAGTGTCTGGCTTTGAACAATATATTATGTGATCATCCTACCTACAGCAACCTTATGCAATGTGACTTATGGTCACTTTCACTTACAAACGAGGCAATCAAGGCTGAGACACAGATTATTCCAGCTATTCGTCAGAGAGTATTCAAATCTAGTCTACCTAGAGTAGAGAGTGAGCTCTAATCTCCCCCCAAACATTTCCTCCCAAAATAAGTGGTTTTCAGATAGTGTCCCTTAAGCCCCAGGGCAGAAGAGAGGCATTTTTAGGATTCACTGAAGGAACACAGGAAAACCACATAGGTGGGTCTTGGGGGTTTTACCACCCCACTGTCAAAGATCAAGCCTTCTTTAGACTTCATAGGAGTCTCTGCAAGAGTTTAAGAAAACAGGCTGTTTAGAAAAATGAACACAATTTTATTTCCATATCACCAGTTCCTAAAACAATGCCGAGCACACAGAGTCTCCAGCTAATACTGAATAAGAGAATGAACAATAGTTGCTACCTAGTAACTCCCCAGGCTGATGGATACTTTGAAAATGACTGGTGTACACTTTCTTGTGAACAATCATATTCATATCAGAATTCATGATCAAAATATTCATGTCAGACCTACCCAATCCCAGCATCAGAGGACTTAATATGGAAATACAACAAAAATCCATAATTGCAGAGGCATCCTTGAGCTTACCTGGCCTTGCAGGAAGAGCCTACCCTTGGCAAGGTTATAAGGAGAAGCCACGAATATATATCATCATCCTTTGAAACTATCTAGCTAACCAGCCCCCAGGCCCCCTGCAGAGTGTTTGGCACCATATGAAGATTCAATAAATTTCAGATTGGGGATGGATGGATGTTGGGGTGAATGAGATCCCTGGATCTCTTTGGAGCTTGAACTTTGGGTGCACTAGAAGCTCCCACAGCAAAGGCTTGGCTGGGATTCTGCCTGAAATCTGCCAAGGGAGCCTGGCTAATGCTAGAGCCAGAGTTACTCCTCAGACATCCCAGCTTAGAGTGGGCAGGAGAAATTGACTGTCCCAGGCTAACAAGGCAAATAACTCTGCCACTTTCTCCAGCCCTGTCTAGAATGACATGCTACCAAATAGCCCTTTGGGAATAAGTGAAGAGCAGGATGCAGTGTCCTGGGTCAACAGAGGGACCAGAGACTGGGTGACAGACACTTCAAGCCTGGTCATTCCCATAGTCTAAGATCTCAGGATCTCCCCCAATTTATCCCAGTCTCACCCTCTACCCACCACCATTAGAAGGATGTGGGAGGAAGGGAAGATGAGAGGAGGAGGACTGAAGAGATGAGTCAGTGAAAAGTAGGTCAGACTCCTACTCTCCTTGCAGAATCCCAAGTGTGGAAGGAGCTGCCTGATGCAAGCTGAGGAATCCCCTCTATCTCCCTAGCACATCGTTGCTCAGCCTTTGTTTAAACCTATCCAATACAGGGAATGGGCTACCTTCCAAGGCTGCCAGGGCCGTTTCCTCCATGAGCTACCCACTACCTCATTCTACACATGGGGAAGTGACCCATCCCCCTAATTTTAAACTACTCCAAAATGCATACTATGATAGGTCTGTGTTCCAAAACAGCAAAATGTATAAGAAATAGTGTCTCCAAATAAGGTTTGAAAACACTGTAAGACTATATGTGATTGATTTCCTACATTTTAATGACTTTGCTGAAACTGAACCATCAACCGTTTTAAGAACCAGAGATAAGATGGCAAAGGACTATGTACTTCAGAAACAACTTAGAAATTCACAAAAGGTCTGGGGTTCAAAGGGAGAACCTTAGCAACCCTCTCATTCAGCTCTTATTTGCAAAATTATGAACCTAGGCACGTTTTTATATAAAATATTAACTGCTATTATATCAAAAGATGCTTCGATGTTCAACCAAGTTTGAGGCTCCTTGGGTGATGTAGATGTCTATACCGCAGGACTTCTCAGAGCCTTTGCTGTGATGATTCCCTCAGTAATACTCTAAGCAGAACTACGTGGTCCAGAACGTCTCCCTACTTCCCCTAATTGTGGAGTTATTATTTTGCAGGCTATCACCTGGACTGATAGCGTATGCTATAATCTTTAAGAAAAGCTGATCTACCATCTCTGCAACCTCAAAATCATTAAAACTTTCTGAGACTTGGTTGCTTTCTCTGCAATTTCTGTCCTACCGATGAAGACCAAGGCGGTGTAACTGTGGAAACCCTGAGCAGGCACCCAGGAGGCACAGGCCACTCATGTCGCCTTTCTTTCCAAGTCAGTGACAGCCAGATGCTTGAAAGAAACCCATCTGTTTACCAGCCCAGGCTGTGAGCCAAATGCTGGTCCCAGCGACAATCTCATATCTATTTTCTCAGCCTTCAACAAATAAAAAAGCAAAATGGCCTTTTAACCTCTAATGACATAGCAATGGGACCTGGAAAAGCTAGGGATGAGAATCTTTCTGTTTAATGCAATATTTTCCTACAGAGATAACAGCCAATTGCATTTCCTTTCTTAAGAGCCAGTGATGAATGTGACTGATGGGCCAGAAATACCACTCCTGGATAATATATTTTAGGGTAAAGCTATGATGCCAAACTCACCCCATCATTTCTGAGAACTGTCGGGCTTAAGTGGATCACTGCAGAAAATATCAGCATTCTGGGAAGTCGGACATGGTTTTCCTAGGTAAGCTCTGCTCTCCACAGATTTTTTTTTTTTTTTTTTTTTTGCTGCTTTTAGTTTTCATCTCCCCTTTGTAACTTTTGAAGTAGAATAACTCTGCATTCTTTTCTTGCTAATAATTTTAAAACATTTTTTCTTATGTATATATTTTAATATACTTTATTGCACTTTAGGTTCTGGGGTACATGTGCAGAACATGCAGGACTGTTGCATAGGTACATACATGGCAATGTGATTTGCTGCCTCCATCCCCATCACCTGTATTTGGCATTTCTTCCCATGTTATCTCTCCCCAACCTCCCTACCCACTGCTGTACATCCTCTATTCACCCTCAACAGACCCCAGTGTGTGATTTTCCCCTCCCCGTCTCCACAGATATTTATTCTGCTCAGGTACCAGTCAGCTTACAAAGACTGACCACTGCCTACTGTGTGCCTGTCCCTGGTGTGTGTCTTGGGATGGGGGGCAGAGAGAGAGAAAGACAGAGACAGGGACAGGGACAAAGTGAGAACTGGTGCTGAAGCTCCATGGGCAATAGGGCTCTTTTGCAGAGAAAACACAGAAAAGAATTGGCTTTGCAAGTCAACTCTCAATTCACTGGGGTCTTAGAAACCCACAGGCTTAGAAGTACCTGGAACATTGCCTTTTCAGCAGACTCAAGCCTTCCTTCCTTGGGTGGGAACACAAAGTGTATTTCTGGTACTGTATAAAGTCCTATGGACAAGGGATTTCTCGGTTTTTCTTGGGAAACAGACTGTACATTCAAGAAGTTACTGGGAAGAATGATCATTTCTGCTTCCGTGCTCAGCCCTTGATGTTTTTGAGCTAGGTGTGTAAGGACTGGATAGCTTCTGTTTACCATAGCTCACTTCAGGCAAAACCCACAATTCTGTTATGCCTGTACTCTCAAATAACCATTATAAGCAACATAGGCAGAGATTCATGGACCAGACCTTGTATTCAGTGACTCACCTATATTAACTCACCTTTACCCAGAGAAGTAGGTGCCTCCTATCGAGGATGATGAAACCGAGACACACAGAGAGTAAACCAGTTGGCCAAGGTCCAACAGTAGGAAGGGACAGGACTGGAACTCACTGTGGCATTCTGATTCCAGAACTGCTGTTCTCAGTCCCTATACTATGTTACCAAGGTTCTCATCCCAGGGCAAAAGTGAATAACGCAAGTTAAATTAGAATTTGTGAGGCAATGAGTACTATGGACTGAATATTTGTGTTTTCCAAACCATTTATATGGTAAAGCCCTAGCCTCTGATGTGACGGGTTATGGAGGTGGAGTTTTGGGGAGGCCATTGGGTCATGAAGATAGAACCTCTCAAGGGAGATCAGTAACTTTACAAGAAGAAACATGAAAGAAACGATGTCTCTCTCTGCCATGTGAGGATACAGCAGGAAGATGCCCATCTGCAAACTGAAAGGGCCTTACCACATGGCAAATCAGCTTGTATCTTGATCGTGGACTCCCCAGCCTCAGACTGTGAGAAATAAGTGTTTGCTGTTTAAGCCATCCTTCCATGGTATTTGTTATAGCTGCCTGAACTAAAATGAGAAAATATTTATCTCACTTGCTCCACAGCAAAACATACGGATGATCCCATGAGACAACTCCTTACCAGTTCCTCTCCAGGAGCAAACACCTTCGTTCCCTTTTCCCATTCGACAAAGCCCTCTTACTTTCCACTCCCATGCTTTTACGTGGCAGAACTAGCTCTGCAGGTAGACAGACCCATCATCAGCCCTGGAGAACAACCCGGACATCATTCGTGACATCCAAGTCAAGCCTATTGGGCGGGTTCATTCAAGCAGCTCACCAAACTGTTGGTTCTCAACAACACAGAGCTCTTCATACAACAAGGAATCCTGCTGCTATGAAAAATAAACTTTCCTCCTATTGTGACACAGGGATTATTTGATGTAATCCCCAGAACAATCTAGAAAAAATTCACAATTTTTTTTTTAATCTCTGCTCTACAGATAAGAAAACTGAGCTAGAGAGAGTTGACGTGGCATCCCAGTACCAATGGAGAGTGGGGCTGGACCTTGAGCTTGTGCTCTAGGCAGGGCCTCCCTAAAAGGTTGGTCCCTTTAGTGCATTCTGTGCCTCTTCTGAATGTTTCTCTGCCCATTCCCCTCCCCCAAAGACCCACACCTCAGTATTCATCCAATGTTTCATGCAGAAAATTTTCTATACTATTCATTGGTACAAGGCAGAGGTTCTCAACTAGATGTCAGGGGCAATTTTGCTGGCAATGTCTGAAGACACTTTTTAATTTTCAATACTGGAGGGAGCCACCAGCATTTGGTGTGTAGAGGACGGATGTGTGGTTAAACATCCGAACATGAACAGGGCAGTATCTTGTACAACAATAGTATCAAGGTTGAGAAATCCTAGGAACAGGATACACAAAGAAAATTGTAAGTAATCTTACACCATTTGAGTGACTTTCATGTATTCAATTATAGGTATGCCTTGGTGATGCTGCAGGTGCAGTGTCAAACCACCACAATAAAGGAAATATGAAAATAAGACTATTCACAGAATTTTTTTTTGGTTTCTCAGTGCATATAAAAGTTATGTTTACACTAGAATATAGTCTATTAAGTGTGTAATACCATTGTGTTTACTAAAAAATGCACCTGCCTTTTTTAAAACTACTTCAATACTAAAAAATGTTAATAATCACCTGGACCCTCAGTGAGTCATATCTTTTGCTGATGGAGAGTCTTGCCTCAATGCTGATGGCTGCTGACTGATCAGGGTAACAGTTGCTGAAGGTTAGCAGGACTGTGACAATTTCTTAAAATAAGACAAAAGTGAAGTTTGCCATATCAATTGACCCTCCTTGAATGGAAGATCTCTCTCTAGCATGTGATAGCATCCTTGATAACATTTTACCCAAAGCAGAACTTCTTTCAAAATTGAGTCAATCCTTTGAAATCCTATAGCTGCTTTATCAACTAAGATTATAGAATATTTTAAATCCTCCATTGCCATTTCAACAATGAAAACAACATCTTCACCAGGAGTAGATTCCATCTTAAGACACCTCTTTCTTTGCTCATCCATGAGATACAACTTCTCATCCATTGAAGTTTTATCATCAGATTGTATCAATTCAGTCACATCTTCAGACTCCACTTCTGATTGTAGTTATTCTTCTACTTCTATCACATCTACAGTTACTTCCTCCACTGAAGTCTTGAACCTCTTAAAGTCATCCATGCGGGCCGCTATCAACTTCTTCCAAAGTTCTGTTAATGTTGATATTTTGACCTCCTCCCATGAATCACCAATGTTCTTAGTGGAATCTAAAATGGTGAATCCTTTCCAGAATTTTTTAAATTTACTTTTCCCAGATCCAGGAGAGGAATCGCTATCTATTGCAGCAATAGCCTCACTAAATGTATTTCTTAAATAATAAGACTTGAAAGCCAAAATTACCCCTTGATCCATGGGCTTCAGACTGAATGTTATGCTGGCAGGCTTGAAAACAAATTAATCTCCATCAGAGCTTGTGGGTGAACAGGTGCATTCTCAATGAATACTAACATTCTTAAAGGAATCTTTTTTTACTTTCTGAGCTGTAGGTTTCAACACCAGGCTTAAACATTCAGTAAAACATACTATAAAGAGATGTGCTGTAATCCACGCTTTGCTTTTCCATTTCTAGAGCACAGGCAGAGTAGATTTAGCATAATCCTAAGGGCCCTAGGCTTTTTGGAATGGGGAATGAGCATTGGCTTTAACTCAAAGTCATCAGCTGCAATAGCCCCTAAAAAAAGGGAGTCAGCCTTGGAAGCTTTGAAGCCGGGCACTGACTTTTCCTCTCTAGCTATGAAAGTTCTTATGTCATCGTTTTCCTCTATAAGGCTGCTTTATCTACACTGAAAATCCATTCCTTAGAGTGGCCATCTTCTTGGATTATTTCAGCTAGATCTTCTGGGTAACTTGCTGCAGCTTCTTCTTTTTTTTTTTTTTTTAATTTTTTATTGCATTTTAGGTTTTGGGGTACATGTGCAGAATGTGCAAGAAAGTTACATAGGTACACACATGGCAGTGTGTTTTGCTTCCTTTCTCCCCTTCACCCACATTTGTCATTTTTCCCCAGGCTATCCCTCCCCAGCTCCCCCCGACCCCCCGCTGACCCTCCTGACACAAGAATAGAAAATGAAATACCGCATATTCTCACTCATAGGAGAGTGATGAAAAATGAGAACACATGGACACAGGGAGGGGAGTGCTGCAGCTTCTATATCCGCACTTGTTCCTTGAATTTTGCCTCCACTTAAGGGAACTGTATTAGTCCATTCTCACATTGCTGTGAAGATACTACCTGAAACCGGGTAATTTATAAACAAAAGAGGTTTAATTGACTCACAGTCTTACCTGGCTTGAGGGGGCCTCAGGAAACACAATCATGGCAGAAGGTGAAGGGGAAGCAAAACATGTCTTATGTGGCAGCAGGAGAGAGAGCAAGAGCGCGGGGGAAACTGCCACTTTTAAACCATCAGATCTCATGAGGACTCCCTCTCTACCATGAGAACAGCATGGGGGAACTACCCCCATGATCCAATTACCTGCCACCAGGTCCCTCTCTTGACACATGGAGATTACAATTTGAGATGAGATTTGGGTAGGGACACAGAGCCAAAGCGTATCAGGAATGTTGTTTGTGGCTGGTTTGTTCTTCTATTCAAACCACAAAAACTTTCTGCATTTCAGCAAGTAGGCTATTTTGCTTGCTTTTCATCTGTTCACCGAAAAAGTGATTTTAAATATTCTTAAAGACCTTTTCCTTTATATTTACAACTTGACTAACTGTTTGGCACAAGAGCCCTAGCTTTCAGTTAATCTCAGCTTTTGACATGCCTTCCTCACAAAGCTTAATCATTTCTAGCTTTTAATTTAAAGCAAGAAACATGTGACACTTCCTTTCACTTGTCCACTTAGAGGCAACTGTAGGGTTATTAATTGGCCTATTTTCAGTATTGTTGTGTCTCTGAGATTAGGGAGGACCAAGGAGAGGAGAAAGATAAGGGAAGGGCTAGTAGGTGGAGCAGTCAGAACACACACAACATTTATCAATTAAATTCACTGTCCTATATGGGCATGATTTATGGCAGCCAAAACAATTACAATAGTAACATCAAAGCAGACTAATCGTGGATCACTGCAGCAGACATACAAATAATGAAAAGGTCTGAAAATTGTGAGAATTACTGAGCTGTGACACTGAGATGCAAAGTGAGCACATGCTGTTGGGAAAAAACATGGTACCAATAGACTTGCTGGAGGCAGGGTTGCCACAAACCTTTAATTGCATCACATAGGAAGGACGCTAAAGTAAAGAACAATAAAGTGAGGTATGCCTATAACCAATTTTCAAAATAATACCGTGAGACTGGAAATCTTACTATTTCACGTAAAAAGAGGATATGAGGCTTGAGAGTTTACTGCGGTTGACCAAGGTCATAAAGCTAGGACTCGAGCCCCAGAGCTTAGCTTCAGGCCCCACACTCTAAACTGTGGTTGCAAGACTGCCCTTCAGAGTTGAATAAGACACCGTCAATATTTTATACCGCTGGTGAGAGTGAAAAGATTCTGCGGCAAGGACAAGACGGTGCCTGGAGCTGCCACTGTACAAAGCTGACTTCAAGAAAGCAGATATTTTTCTAAGTGGTGCTTACATATTATCAGGAAGGGTTCCAGGAGGAGGAGGGGTTGAAAAGATTCTGAGTTGATGTCTTTGGTGACACAAAACAACCATGCCCTAAGACTTTCCTGATTCCCAAATGCAATGCCAAAGTTTGTATGGCAGCCCACTTCTAAGATGGCTCCAGTGACCCCCGTTCCTGGTGGTGATCACCTTGCGTGATCTTCTGCAAAGATTTCAAGGGTTCTGGCTTCTACTTTGCTTGATATCTCTTGCTTGTTCAGATGAAAGCCAAGTGCCATGTTATAAACTGCCTTATGGAAAGGGCCACATAGCCAAGGGACTGAGGGAAGCTTCCAGACAAGAGCCTGTAGGAACTGAACCCTGCCCACAACAATTTGAATGAACTTAGGACAAAATGCTCAACATCACTAATTGTCAGAGAAACATAAACCAAAACCACAATGAGATACTATCTCACACCAGTCAGAATGGCTACCATTAATAAGTCAAAAAACAACAGATGTTGGCAAGGCTGTGGAAAAAAGGTTCACTGATAAACTCCTGGTGGAAATGAAAATTAGTTTAACCACTGTGGAAAGCAGTTGGAGATTTATCAAAGAACATAAAACAGAACTACCATTCTACCCAGCAACGCCATTACTGGGTAAATACCCAAAAGAAAAGAAATCATTTTACCAAAAGTGTAGATGTATATTCATGCAGTACTATTCATAATGACAAAGACGTGAACTCAACCTGGGTGTCCATTAATGGTGAACTGAATGAAGAAAATGTGCATATACATCATGAAATACTCTGCAGCCGTAAAGAAACACAATTACATCCTTTGCAGCCACATGGATGCAGCTGGAGGCCATTTTCCTCAGAAAATTAATGCAGGGACAAAAAGCAAATACCATATATTCTCGCTTATAAGCAGGAGCTAAACACCGGGTAGACATGGACAACAATAGATACTGTGGGCTACTAGAAGGGGCAGTTGGGGAGGAGGGCAAGGGTGAAAAACCAACTGTTGGGTACTATGCACACTAGCTGGGTGATGGAATCATTTGTGTCCCCAGCCTCCATATCATGCAATATACCCACGCAACAAATCTGCAAATGTACCCCTTGAATCTGACACAAAAGCTGAAATTATTTAAAAAACAAAATAAAAAGGTAGTGGGTTCTTCCTGACTGTAGCCCCAAGCAACATATTAATTGCAGCCTAGTCAGAGACTTGGGCAGATAACCCAGCTAAATCACACCTGGATTCCTGATCACAGACATTGTGACAAAATAAATGTCTGTTGTTTCAAGCTGCTGGCCTTGAAGGGTAATTTGTTACACAGCAGAGATAACTAACACAGCGTGCACATCAGATTCTTCCAATGCACTACTTCAGGTCCCCTGGGACTTACCTGGCTCTGATTCCAGTCATCTTTGAGGTGACCAGTCTTGCATGGGCTCCAGTCACCTTCAGGTAG